TAGGACAATCGCCGTGTCCGTCAAGCTATATGCGCGGTCCAAAGTGTACACGGGCATGAAGGTGGGATGGGTTGGACGGAGGGTAGAACAGTGTCTTTTTCGGGTGGTCGTGTCGTTTCGGTTGCGCAGGGGGTGTTCTATACGCAAAGGCGATAGGCGGCGGGTTGTACGGAACGAGTAATCATAGGTATGGCTGACAGAACGGCAGGCGAAGAGCCCGCGGAGGGTATGTTATATGCGATGGATTCACTCTTGTCTGCTGAATTCAGCCTGTGTGAGATCGAGTACGAACGAGGCTTTGAAGTTCTTTGGCGGTTCGATGAGTTTAATGGGTGCTTTTGATCCTGGCTGTCCACCTTTGGCTGGCTGCACCAGGTGCGAGATGGTTGGGAACGGCCGCAGAGCGCGCGAATGAGGGAAAGATGGACCGCGTTTTGGCACCATTCTCTGGGCTGGAGGTACTGTATGCGCTGGATTCGCAAGCGGCGAAGGCACAGCAGGACGAGAAAGGCCAAGAGTCATGGTCGCTGTTGGATGCAGTGGTTAGCGACTACGCGGTGGGTCAGGGCAAAGCTACGCACTCATTGTGAGAAATATACAGAGAGGAGGGGATGAAAATTTGAGTTGGCGGTGAGAGTATTTATATGGCGTTTGTTGGAAACCCGAAAATGGTTGGGGAGTTAGGGTCGCAGCCTGGATTGCAAAGCTTGGGGATTCGGCATCTCAGGCCCGGCCCGCGGCATCTCCCAATGCGGTAATCAACCTGCCTCTCCTCATTGGTTCAGCGCTCAGCTTTCCTTTCTGGCAGTGCGCGACTCGTTATCAGTTTCTGCTCTTCTCCTTCTCATCTGCCGGATTCAGTCGCGCTCTGCTGTCATGCTAGAGCTCCGTAATAAAGCTCAAGCATCGTCTGGTTATTGCTCGCTTCACAAGCCCACGCTCACTAAAAATGTTGGGGATCTCGTCTCCCAGAAGCGTCAAAATCGGAGTCTATAGCCATAAGCCCCTTACAGAATTGCATTATCGCCACGTTAACGCTTGCGCTTCCCCCCTTCACCCCAAAGATCTTGAAGTTGTATACGCCCTGTCCCCGCATTGTATATTGTTATCTGGGCAAATACATGGCAGCTTCTCCCGAAAGTAGAGCTCTGGTATCCTCTGAAAGGGGACTCAAGAATTGAGCAGTCGTTCACGCGCCATATGGCCACCTTCTCCTCCGCTTGACCTGGTCGCACTTGAATCAATTATTGGCAATAAAGCTTTTCCTAGAGCTCTTTATTCTTGAATTTTCCAAAAAGCATCGTGTAGATGTCAAGAGCGCACATGCTGAATGTCGCCTAGTTTATCCATACCGACTATTTACGCGAGCGTTCCCGTTTTTGCCTTTCTTCGACCTTGATCGTCGAGATCCCACAGCTATATTCGCTTCTCTTATTTTTCCTAGCTCATTTCTTCGTACGTTTTAGACAAATGGCATGCGGAGCATGTGCATGAAAGATGGCAACACGCCCCTATGTTGGATATATCCTGAGCTTGCTTTCCAGACGAAAGCTACCTCCCTTGTGCAAAGTCATCCTTTGAATGTAATTGCAACGCCAAATACGCTGTCGATATACTGAGATTAAATATGACCCACGGTCGCCCTATCACTTCGCTTATGCTTCGACGCTACCCAAGGTCAATAGAATTCGAGCGCTCTGGGGGCCTTGGTTCTCGGAGATCATGTCTGGGGAAAGAGAAGTACATACGATACATGAGTCTCAGAGAAGGCTGACGGATCACATTCACATGGTACTCATTAGAGTTTTATGTTTTTCCGTGAGGCGACACACGGAAGAGCAAGAAAATTTTAGTGGGCTCTCTGTGGAGTATCAAAAGAGCACTGCAGTCCTAGACTCGAGATAACGTAGTCTAGTTTTAAAAATTTACTGCAGTAGCTGCTCTTAGGAATTAAACTCGTATGTGTACTCATCCAACTCAAGATTGAAAAGCGCGTTATTCATAATCATCCCAATTGAGTAAGCTAATGACCAAATCCGGAAGATGGGCTTCACACCGAAAGCTCCCAAAATGGTAACACAGAAGCGTCAATAAGCGTCGATCATTTGAGAGTAGTCTCGGACCCTGCAGATGTCGACCATATGGCACTTCCGAGAGAGTTGTTTGCTAATTTCCTTGCTCAGGTAACACAGCCTGCCAAGAAAACGCGTTCCGAAATCCGCTCGTGCCTTTCGAAGAGCGAGGATCCGGAAAGAGGCTCAAGAAGATCATTAGCAATTAAGATATATTTGGATTGCTTGAGGGATAGGGCTGTCGACATCGGTTGTACTGATAGTGCAGTCTTCAAGGCTGCTTTCCTTTGTGCCTCGAGTCGGAGTAAATCTGCTTGTAGAATGTCGTCAGATTCTGTGATTGCCGTCGTATTAGGAGTGGGTCTCGCTGATCTAGTCCCGGTCTCTAGATATAGATGACCTACGATGCGGCAAGAGGTGACGAGACACAGTATATCATAGATGAGTCGCTGAATCGTGGGTACGCTTTTGCTGGCATCCGCTCTGAAGTCCAGCGATCATGAGCAGCCACACACACACTCGAGGTGTTTCATCAGTCGTTATCGTCAGGCTCATCGAGCTTCAAGCGACTGGATCATAAATGAATACAAGCAATCGATAGACAAAGACTTCTAATTGTGGAGCATATGACAGTAGAATTTGAAAAGGACGAATTGAGATAGAGGGGAGGTCACAGCGATTAAAACGTTAGCTGGACATGGATGAGATGACAAATTAAAATATAGAACAACGAAAATGCAGGGGACGAAGAAGAGTCAATGGAAATACCGTAAGCGACAATAGGCAACAAGATAAGCCCTATCACAAAGTAGGCATCTATAGAGAAAAGGTCTGATCCTTGAGACAATGGCCGTTCGAGTGATGATGATTACATAGGCAAAGTGGGACATGGTGAGATTGTGAATCAGGGCAAAGGGGTTTGGAATGTTCATAGGACTGGGACATCGCTCCTGAGGAAACCAAAATAAGAACCAGTGAGTAACTCCGGAGCGGAAAGATTGGAAATCCGTGTACCTTGCTTGGTGCTCGACTGGACTCGAGTGAAACGAATGATTGATCCAATGAGTGGGAGTTAAACCTTGACTGTCAAGAGTAGCACCATCCTGAAACCGAAGAGCACGGGAAGTAAAACCCTCGGAGAAAAGGACGGGAATGTTGGTGAGTACCCATGGCCATGGTTGGTGGTTGGTGTTGTTACAAGTACATTGTAGATTTCAAATTCGAGTAAAAACGTCTTGCTTTGCTCCGTAAGTTACGCAAAGGCTGGGGTCCTACTTGGTGTTTGCTGTTATAATACAATTCGATTTGAGAATTCAAGGCTGTGAGGTTTGACTAGTCCGAGAAGCTGACAAGAGTACGTGCGACTGGGTGATTTGATCCAAGAATTATTAGACAGCTGACTGAGTGGTGCGTAAAGATCGAAAGCATGGTAAGCGCAGTGTATGGGGAAGAGATTGCGCATGTTCCGGGGTCCAGGATGGGAGGAGTTAATGGATGAAGGGGCGCCGCATCAAAAGGTGAAGCATGACTGAAACCGGCATTCAAGCCCAGCAACACACATTCGGCAGATGAGCCTTCGCAAATTTGACCTACTGTACATCCACGAGCAGATTCCGCTCAAGGATGTACTTGCCCTCTTTATACTTTTGAGAGGGCTCGAAGGCCTTATCCTAAACATAGAGTTTCATCAGCACCAACATCGGCCGCAACAATAAAGCCACCTTACGTATTTCCATCCTAGTACCGTTTGGCACTTGATGCAATAGATATCTCGAACGATATGTTGACCAGTTGTCATTGGGCGATCGTCAGGCTCTCCTTCGACGATATTAACACTGCGGGATGTGGATGAGATGAATGGGGTTTAGGGTGAGGCAAAGCGCGACAAACGACTCACACTCCGTCAAACAAGTACGCCCTTCCGTGCTGGCCGTTGAAAGCCTAGAATACAAGCACCTGGGTCAGCCATGCAAACTCCGAAATGAATGAGATTTGGGCTTACTCGAGACATCATCGAGTGGATGGTTGCCAAGTGCGTCTTGCACGTCGAGCATCCATAAATACGTTCACCAGAGAGATAACGCCTGTAGCTCATGCCCATCTTGGATTGATTTGAGTGATTCAGTCCTGAAGAGGGCGAGGACAAGGTGTAGGTGATGGTGAGAGAGGAAGAGAATGATGCACCAGGGGTTTTATAGTAAGTCCAAACGGGGTTTAGGAGAGCAGAGGGAGCCGGTTTATTGCCTTTTAGGAATTTGTTCCGTACCCGTCACACCGGCCGCTCTTCTCGTCGAGTACTCTCCAAGTGGTACTTTCATTATCAGTCAGATTTACACTGATCATCGTCCTCGTGTTCTAATCTAACATCCAGTGAACCCACTTAAAGATGCTTCTTTTCGATAGGTTATTTGCTGGTGTGCCACTTCAGTTTACTAACCTTCACTTTTTCAAACGCCTCTTGGATTGCTGTGAGTTGAGAGAGCAGATACCCGTACATCTTGAGCAGCAGCAGGCGCGCACTATCTCCGAAACGCCGTCTACTACATTAGAAGGATGCACCAGGTTCGGCAGACCATATCTATGGTTCCGGCTTTTAGCTTCGACTCCAACGACATTGTGCCGTGATTGAACCTTTACACGCTCTTCACGGTGCATCTCGAGAGGCAGCAGGTCAAAGCACGAGCCCCAGTCATGCAAATACGACAGACTGGGAAGTTTATATCCGTATATACCAGACAAATTTAATCCTTCTGTGCACTTGGGGAATCCGAGTTTATTGTGAGGATAACACGATTCTTAGCCTGCCTTTGTTCAAAATTCCCACGGTTACCGCATCGCCCAATTCTCCAGTTCCAAACTTCCAACGCCTCTCACGATATGATCCTCCTCGAAGAATGTTATCGAAAATTAAAATATTTACAAAAAGCCTGCTCCCTGAGAGAATCGAACTCTCGACCTCAGGATTACGTAAGCATGTTTGCCTACTCATACGAGCGTATGAGACCTGCGCTCTAACCAACTGAGCCAAGGAAGCTTTAGGGAACAAAGAAATAAGCAAGCCCTAAACTGCTGCAAAATCAGAGATTATCTTAATTTAGCACTGACCTGTCGTGGGACCTATGTGACGATCGTGTGTTACCACTGTCACGTTCGTCTTTCACACCGCGTCCACCACTAAGGATTTGCTCAACTCGCTTTTGGCTGAGCTACCGCTGCACCTGGGACTCTTTATCTTTGGGTTTCATCTTTTATTGTAACTAGTTTGTGCTGTGATACGCGCTGGTGCAGCCCAGTCGCCTGTTGGCTAACCCAGAGGGTTTCCTGGAGTACAAGCGCCGTTCGCCGGGAGCATTGTTATTTCCTCGCGGTTTTGACCTTCAATGACTTCGCGTAAACGACCAGCAGAAGAGCAGCTTTTAATCTTTCGGAATTCAAAACAACCTCGTAGGACAATGAAAGGCTATGACGGCGGCGCACCTAGTCCATCAGGAGATGAAGGTCGTTTGGCTTCCTGGACCCGTCAATTGACCGTCATTTATCAAACGTTTAGTTTTATGCCAAGTCGGCACACTTTCTTCTATACATCATTTGCTTGCTAACCTGCTGGTAGGGTCTACACCAGGAGCCAACTCGTCGGAGAGCGCAACCCAAGAAGACGCCCTATCTAATTCATCAGTATCTTCCGAATCATTTGTCGCGACCCCTCACCAGACACCAGCACCGGAGCAGGTTGCTGTTGTTCTGAGCGATGGAGAACACTCGTCAGAAGAGCGGGTTCTCGGGTCCCTACAGTCAATAGATTTTGTTCCAGACTCGAAACCAACACCGCTTCAAACCTATTTTTCAAGCCGACCAAGCTCTTTCGCCAGCTCCTCAAAGTCCTCATCCCGGACCCCGTCCAGTTCTCTGAACGACCCCTTCGGCGCTGCTTCGGGCAGTTCTATCGGCTTTGCGAGAGACACCTTTCAATCAACACCCAAGCCTCGAAACGCCGTTGCATCATCCTCTAGGACACCTACGGAGGTCTTCCCACCTCTCTCGAGGAGCATAACGAAAGAACCAACCGAGAAATTCTTACTCAAGATTGAGGATTTGCGGCTTGGTTCTTCTACCCATACTTCCCTGCAATCAACACCGTTGAAAGCAGTCTCTTCAACATCACTTAAACGTCCCAGTATGATGCAAAAGCCTCCCCTTCGACTCACAAGCCGGCAGCATATATATGCCAAAGCTCACAAAGCTGATGTCCAACGTAAAAATGAAGAATTGAAGGAACAAATGGCCCGACACCTTTGGGAAAAGAGGAAGCGGAGAGGATTTTCGTCAAATTTCCAGGATTTCAAAGGTACTGCCCTTTATTCTTCCTATACACACATTCGTACTAAGTCTTTATCGAGGATTGCTTGGGTATAAAGAGGAACTATTGAAGCAACTTGGACAGACACCACAAATACCACGTCTGTTTTTTTTTCTTTCACCAACTTACGCTTGTGTTTTCTCACTTCTTTTCTAGAGCTTCCATTACCATTGAAAACGCGGAATTTACAGTCCCCTCACCTTGTAAGTACTTTATACACGTCCGGGTATGCGGCGTCTTATCTTCCCAGGATGAGGGTGACACAAGCTTCCAACGAGTAGTTAAGAACGCGAAAGCAACCATCGAAAGCCCAAAGCCGCCAAAACCCTTCATGCCAACATCAGATCAACTTCAAATCATCCACCGTGCCAAAGATGACGCCATTAGACGTCGTATCCGACCTCCTCTACCCTCTCAATTGCCGGTTGAAGATGAGCTCGCAGTCAAGGCTCTTCTTCAAAAGCGTGGTGAAATTGTGGCTAGATATGGTAAAGAAAGAGTGGGCGACGGAGACCTTGATCGACTGAGACCAGGAATGTGGTTGAACGACGAAATCATCAACTTTTATGGTGCGATGATCTTGGGACGGTCAGAAGCGCGGAAAGAGAACCCCGTTAAGAGCAATGAAAAAGCGCCCTTGGACATCTTTTATCTCAGCTCATTCTTTTATGAGAAGCTGACGAAGCTGGGATATGAAAAGGCACGGCTCGCTAAATGGACAAAGAAGGTCAGTTTTGCTCCGATATATGCTGTCCGCTGCTAACTTTGATTCTCAAGGTTGATATTTTCTCGAAAGATGCACTGCTTATGCCAGTGAATCATAATAATTCTCATTGGACTGCTGCATCGATCAATTTCCGCAAGAAACGGATTGAGTCCTACGACAGCATGTACATGTTTAATCGTCACGTCTTCCCGGTATGTAGTCTATCATTATACGTGCCAGGGTTCTCAAACACGACTCGCAGGTTTTAAGAAGATATCTCGAGCAAGAGCATATGGAAAAGAAGAAGAAGCCGTTTGATTTTACTGGCTGGATAGATTGGGCTCCTGAGGTGTGTAATATTGCCCTATAGGTTTATAAATCCTGAGCTTGGTCCAGGACACCCCTCGGCAGGAAAATGGCTTCGATTGCGGTGTTTTCACCATGCACTTCCTCGAGGCTGTATCGAGAGGGGAAGACATGTTTGCATTTTCGCAAAAGGACATGCCATATCTTCGACGACGTATGCTTGCAGAGATTGGGAGCGCACAGCTACGTGGTGGCCACTATGCTTAACGTTCGACTCGATTCCGATCCCCGTTTCTGTATATCCTCCGGTTGACCTGAATGTCTAGACTTGTGGAACTTCCTTTTCTTGATTTGTTCATCTGTTCTACACCCGCATACACCGTTACTACACCGTAAATTATAGCTTAATTTCTGTGCCTTCCGTTTCACCGGTTTGTCCTGGTCTGCTGATTGTGCGACCGGCTATTAGATTGAGGCAAGCAAATGTTTGATATTCTTCAGTTCCTTGCTGTGACTTACCATGGCATCGCAGTGCCTGTTATATATTCATTATACACAACCGCGGTCTCGTTAAGGTCAACTATTTCCATGAATGGAACGCAAAACTCATGTCTGTGGACCTTATCTCAATGATCTCGCTAAACGCTGTATCGCTTTGGGAACCCAATCATCCAGCCTCTGTACAATTATCGGCACTTTTACAGTAACAAGTCTCTCCTTACGAAGATCCAATATCGGAAACTGTGTTTCTTGCCACCTCGAGTACGGCGTACAGCCTTGCAATTGTGACATATCTCCTTCCTCGATACTCCTCTCTCCACTCCGCCCGGAACACTCTTATTTAAAGACCCACTTGCCACCTTCTGGAACGAGATGGTATGACCGAAGTGCGCATTTCCTGTTTGCTTCTGTGCTGCCTTTCATTTATTGCGTTGAATAGACCCTGTGTATTACCGTTTTCTGCGAAGCTTCCGGGGCTTGACATTGCAATAGCTACTTCGCACTACCTGTGGATATGTCTATTCGTGATATTCTGGAACGTCTCTGGAGTAGGCACTGTTCCCGCTTTTGACGCGAAAGGGATGTGTTGGAATGGCCTCGCAATTTTGAAGGTTTCACTCATAAGGGAGAAAGAGTGGGCATGTCGTTCTGCTTTCAACCCTGAAACGAAGCCCATCACATACCTATCGATATATCTTCGATCGCAAGGTACCCGACACAATGATTACGGAGCCGCAGGCAAGTAGAGTCGAACTCAAATTTTCCTGCACTGCCTAACTACTTCTCATCAGGCTATCATCGATTATCGTAGCAACTTAAGTGCCCGGTGCGTAAATGATGTGGTCTATGGTACTAGTATTTGGACTAATTTTACACCAAACAACAGCCACTGTGTTACTGTCAGCCTTCACCGCCTTCTAGTCATTACCCATCTCGTGGGTGTGACTGTCTACAAAGGCTGCCATATCTATCTGAACAACGGCCAAGTCCAGTTTGGTTGGGTTGACTGGTCACTTGCTGTTTTAGGTGTTGTGTGAGTTGTCCACCAAAATCCCAACGCCTTTGAGTCTGAAAGCTCCAAGTGCCTCCAGATTGTATATACTTGGGCTTAACGACATGCCTTATCCCCCGATACGGCATTGGTACTACCACCAAGACCTCAGCGAGATCTTGTCACTGCCAAAATTGACACTGGTGGAGTTTCCTGTCAGCTTGAACAAACTCTTGCAGGCCTTCCGCCTGAAGTGTAAGCACTGGGTTAGCATACCATCGACCACTCTGGGAGATAATTTTATTCTAGCTACGTTGTTAGAGTCTTGATTTGTTGCTTGACGCTATGCAGTACCATGGATTCTCTAGATAACGCCCTGAATTATCGATATCTACTCTACTTTCTCTTAATCTTGACTACAATGTATGCTTTTGAACAATTGGCAAAGAATGTGTCACTGTGTTTTCAAAGTAATTCCCTCGTGTCGAACCTGACACACGAACGCGCCGCATACGTCGTTGAGCGACTTATTGTAGAAAAGTTGTTTTTCAAAGGACGGTATCTTGGTGAAGAGCAAGTCTAGAGTCGGCACATATTAAGCACAAGGTGTTGAAACACAGGCATCTTCATTCGTTTATTTTCGAAACCACCATACGACCATGAAAAACCAAAAGACGATGACAAGGAATACAATGTACCACAGCCAACGACAACCTTGACGTTGTGCCATCTTGTTCATCCGTCGAAATGTCCCAGATAGAATGCCACCCGTTTCTGCAAATGCATCATTCTAAGGTTGTTTTAGCTCGCCTGAATAAAGCTCAGAGGTTCTCGGGAACATACCATTTGGCTTAGTTGCACAGCTGACTCTTTCACTTCGTTTCCGATTCCAATGGATATCTAGAAATTCATGTCGGTAGCGAGAAAATAAGCGAAGAAAGGCTAAAGAAAAGCCACATACATCTTTCAATAATTTTACTTTTGCACTCAACCCTTCCAGAGCTTCATCATTTTGACCTTCAAGGTCATCAGCGTAACGCGTTCCAAACTGCGGATGCTGGTTCGTGAAGCCGTTGGGAGGCGTACGGCCTCCGAACGGCGTTGAATGCCCAGAAGACGGCTGTGAATTGGTGCCAAGAAGGGCCGACCGGTCACGTAGCGACGGTGCGGCTC